CTTCCTTCCTTCCTTCCTTCCTTCCTTCCTTCCTTCCTTCCCTCCAAAAGGCCCTGGTGGGGGTGTTTTCCACTGGCCACTTCTTTCCACCCCTTACTGCCCTAAATCCCCAAACTCAACAAGGTGAGGCGAGGAGGAGGAGGAGGAGGGGGGGAGAGGAGCTGAGGCCTCTGGCCAAAGCTTGCCCTCAGTGTCCAGGTGTCCACAGTGAAGCATGGCTGGATCCTGCACTGCAGAAGGGACAGCAAGGTTTCCTGGCCCCTGCTCAAAGCCTCAGGAGGCGTTTTAAACACACACACAGACACAGGAGACACAAAACAGCCTCCATGGTCACGGCTGCCAGGCGGAGATAGCAGGAAGAGCCCTCCGCTTTCCTTCCTCTGTCACCCTCTGTTCTCTCCTTCCCTCCACATGGCTTGGTGACATTAAGGGGAGTGAGGGCAGAGGGGGAGGCCTTCGGGGCCATGGAGGAGTGTTGGGGGGGCCCTTCCCCCAGCCCTCCGGGGTGCTCAAAGCGAAGAGCTCCCTTCAGCGTCCCAGTCCCGGACTCCTCCGCTCTGCCTTGGTTGCAGCCCGGCCCCTCTCCTCCCCTTGGACTTACCTGGCCGAAGTTCCATCCGGTCTGGACGATGCGGTTTGCACTGCCCATGAAGACCACACCGAACTCGGAGAGGACGTATTCCTCCCGCTCCGCGTTGTTTGGCATGAACACGTCATCCCCTGAAAGGCGAAGGGCGCTCCCTGGTCAGAAAGCCGGGCGGGGGTGTGTGTGGGGTGGGGGTGTGGGGGGGGCAGCTGCCTCCGCGGCCCACCCTGAGCGAGGGCTGCCCTCTCTGCCTGGGGGGAATCCTGGAGGGCGGGGAGTGGCAGCAGCTGGTGTTGAACTGGTAAGACCCTTCAGAGACTTTTATGGCCAACGAGCTTTGCCCGAGAAAGCACTTGGAAAAGTGTCAACTGCACATAAACAAAATATGCTCTTTAAATATTATCCTTCCTCTGACAACACTGTCAGCTCGCACCACAGCTGCCGAGCAGAAGCCAAATATTTATAGGATACTATCAGGCTGAAGGGAAAGAAAAATAGTGTATTTTGTGTGTGTGCCCCGGAGACCCCACTCCTCTCCCAAGCTGCCGTTCCTTCGGAGGGAACTGCTCTCTTGCCGCCTGGAGAGGAGTCGTCGTGACTCTGGGAGGTCTGTCTCCAGCTCCCGCCTGGAGGCTGGCACCCCTACAGGCTGTGCTCTCCTGGTGCCTGCTGGAGGCGGGGCCTGGAGGGGGCAACCGGCCCGGGGCTGAGCTCGCCCGGCAGGGAATGTCCCCGCGGGAGCCAGCCAGGCATCGACCGTCTCTCTCCTCCCCCCCCCACCCCAAGAGCCCGGCTATGCCACAGCACCCCTCCTGCAGCGCCAGTCATGCCTTCCCAGGCAAGGGAGACAGAAGCCTGCACACATGCACACCCCGCCCCCACCAGGTTCCTGACGGGCCCTCTGAGCAGCTGCCCCCCCAATCTGGTCTCCCCTCTGATTGGGGGTGGGGCGGGCAGTTGCTTGGCACCCTGAAAGGGCCCTCGCTGCCTGGAAGGGAGGTGACCTCGGAGCGTGGCCCTAGCCAGGGGGGCTGGAAGGGAGGTGCCTCTGCCCACCAGGAAGGTGGTCTCTCTCTATGGCCTTGTACACCCCGCTGAGGGGTCCTTGTCCTCCCCAGGCTCCACACACACACACACACACACACACACACACACACACACACACACCCCCAAATCTCCAGGAGCTTCCCAACCTGGATTTGGCAACCCTGGGGGCGGGGGTGGGGACTCTGAACGCTGCCCTGGGTCCTTCTCAGTGTCACACAGAGGCAGTGGCTGGCGGCCTCTTTGTGCCAGGAGACGCCTGCAGGTGGAGCGCTTGGCCAGGAGGAGGAGGAGGAGGAGGAGCTCTGCAGGGAGAAGAGCAGGCATGAAGGCGCCCCCCCTCCCCCCGTGGGGGGCTTAGCCGGGACTCTCGCAAGGCTGTGGAGCGACAGGGTCATTGGGCCCTCCCTCGGGCAGCCATTCCGAGGGAGGCTGCGCTGGCCGTGGGACACCGCCCAGAGACCTCCCCGGCCTGGGTCCACCGAAGCACACGGCGTGGAGGGCCATCCCCTGGGTACGGCTTTTCTCCCGGGAAGGGGCAGGAGTGAGTGGGGTGGCTGCCCCCTCCAGAGCTCTCCGACCCAGGGCCTCCGGCCTCCGGCCTCCCAGGGCTGCTGTTGGGGGGGGGGGGCCTGTCGGGCGCTGTGCCCTGCTGAGGTCCCTCCCCCCCCCCGAGGCAGCCCGCGTGCTGAGGCTGTCGCAAGGAAGGAGGGGGAAAGGCCAGAGCGGGGTGCCAAACGAGACGGTTAAAAAGGCAGGCGGTGCAGCCCGTGGAGACGCTCTTGTGTCCCCCCCCCCACACACACACACAACGACTGCATGCACATGCACACACTCACGCACGCATGCACACCGAGGTGATTCTGTGCTTGAAAGGGAAGAGGGAAGAAGAGCAGGACTGCTGCCCTGCGAGTCCTGGCCAGCATTGGGCCCTTGCAGCATTTCTGAATGGTGGTGGCGTCCTCACAGTGGCCACGACGAGGACACCCACTGTCATGCCTGGCGTCCCCATTTTGAGGGCAGTGCAAACCTCCCTCCCTCCCCACCACGCACACAGGCACACAGACGGATGGGCCGTGGGTGGAGCCGTCACGGGGAGGTGTGGCCTGCAGCTGGCCCTCTTTGGTTCCCCTCGGCTCTAGAGCAAACAGCTCAGCCCCAGGCTGAAGAGCACAGCCACAGAAGTGCCCCAGGGCCGTGGAAACCCCTCACCGTCCCCCCCCCCCCCGGGGAGGGGGCCCCCGCCCATCCTAGTGAAGCCTGAGGCCCGGAGCCGAGCTGAATGGGACCGCGGAGCACAGCGTGTCGGATAGCTTGGCTGCCTGCAGCAGCCAGCTGCTTACCTGTCAGCCAAGGATTGAAGAGCATGGTCATCGTGCCCAGACTGGTGGCGGGGGCGCTGCTCCCGGAGCCGGCTGTCACACTGAGGGTGTAGCGCCCAATGAGGGCGTTAGGCGGACTCGAGATGGAGATGGTCACCGAGCTGGCGTCAGAGGAGGTCTGGATCGCGCTCCAAGAGCCGCTGCGTGGAGTCCGGGTCACGGCGAAGGCCACCCGTGTCTTGGCTTTAAGAGCAGGGGTCAACCCTGGGTACAAAGGAGAGGGCCATCCCGTGAAGACCTCCACCCCGAGTCAGGCGGAGGAAGGCGGCCTCCAGGGCCAGGGTTTGACTTCTGGGCTGCTTCGGGGCACCTCCACGGGGCTGTCTTGTGTGTGTGTGTGTGGGGGGGGTGTTGCCAGAGGCACTGCCTTTACTCTTGGGTAGCCCCAAAGCAGGGGCGGCCAACTTTCTAACCTGAACCAAAGTCCCCAAAAGTCAAGCACTCTCAGCTTGAGCCACAGAGTCAGCCTGCAAGTACCTCTGCAAAAGGGGATTCCATTTTCGGGTTTCAAAAGGTGACCTCAGAGCAAGCCTCCAGTCTTCCCCCTCCACCCAGCAGAGAGATGATGATGGAATGACAATGGCAGTCCCACCAGGTGAAGTATCTACATTTCTAAAGGCTATTCAGAGCCCACCTGGCGAATAGTCCTCTTCTCTCCAGTACCTCACCCAGCCCTTTTGTGTCTATGTGTAAATCCTTTGTCTTTCCTGCTCTGTCCCTCAGGATACCAGGATAAACCAATCAATCATTCAAATGTTTCGCAGTCCTTCCTGACGCTAATCAGGGACTCATCTCCCACCTTTTGTCTATACTTGGGAAGCTTTTCAAACTACCCTGGCAGGACTATTAGTGGTCAGAAAACTTATTCAACTAGCCACTCAGCACCTGGCTGATTTAATCAAGGCTTTTATTAAGCCTGACTGCCCCTCTGGAGGCCCATTGGTCATATCCAGGCCCTGTCCATCCTGATGCCATGCACCCCTGGGACTCATCATTGGCCCAGGTAATCGATTGTTCTCACCTGAGACCAGCCCCCCAGGGCCACCCATTGGTCTGCATTGTTCTCCAATGTCTATGTCCCAGCAAGCACATAGCCTTTAGACTGTGTGCTTCTGCCCTGATGCCAACTGGCAGTCCACCTCTAAACCCTTTGGGGTTTAGGCCATAATCCTCTCTTCTGGGCAGGTAATATCACCCCATACCCCTCCATTAGCTATCAATCACCTCTGCTTCCTTAGTTCTGTATTGTGTGTGTGAATGTTTGAATATTGTTTCTATGCTTGAGAATATTTAGTAAAGAAATCATTATTTTAGCCACCCAGTCTCTGTGTCTATTCCTGGGTACTTGGGAACTCTGGTATACACAGGTCTGATCCTACAGCTATGCCAATTGCACATTAATATCATCATCCCCCAACCATTTATTAATTAAATAGATCGATTTGGCTGACGGGATTTGGCTCCCCAGAAGGGGGGGATTGGGTCTCAGAAGAGAGAAAGAGGAGCGTACCCGTGGCTGCAATGAGCGTGAGGTTCTCCGACGGCCTTGTCCCGCCTTGGAAGGTGAGCGTCACGGCAAAGGGCTGCCCCCTCCGCACCACCAGCTCCTGGGTGTTGTACTGGTCGGTGTGGTGGCTCAGGGTGTTCTCTTTCCGTTTCCAGTCAACGCTTGCTAGATTCGGCGCTAGAAGAAGGCGAGAAGAAAAGCTGAGGCCGGAGCCAAAAGCGGGCACACCTGGCACTTGCAACCCCTTTGGGATCAAGGGGGAGGGGGGCTCCCTTGGCTTGCCGCCCCCCCCCCCAGATGAGCAGCTTGGTGGCTTCCTTGCCCACGATGGCCCTCGGCTGTGAAGAAGCCGAGCATAACTTCCCTGCAAGCGCTGGGGACTGCTGGGGCCAACCCTCAAATTAACCCCCTGAATTCCATTCAGTGGTACAGATGCTGCTTTCCTGGATCTAAAACAGCCCTGCATTCATTCTCCATCAACCATTTGTGGAGGAGGGGCAGCAAGTGATTTGGGTGGGGGGGGCGACCAGACCAACCGAGGCAGCACTCGGCGCAAAGGGACAGGGCCGGGGGGGGGTTGTTGTGCTCAGGGCCTGGCCGGGCAGAGTGCCCTGGAATGGCGTTGCTCGGCCTGGTGCCCTCTCTGCTGTGCAAGCCCCCCCCCCGTCCCCAGCAGCTCTGCACTGTGGCGCGGGGGTGGGGCTCTGTGCAGGAAGAAGGGGGGGTCGGGCGTGGGCAGCCCGCTGTTGAACTCCCCTCGTCCTCCCCCTGCCGCGTCACAGCAGTGCCCAAAGCAGCTCGCGGCAACTTGAGAACTCAGCCTCCAACACACGCCAACAAGGGAAATCCTGGCCAGTCCCACCAGTGAAACCCTACGGAGCTCTGTTGCCAGGGAGGGGGGGGCTGGCACCAGGGCACGGGCGCTGCGGCATGGCCAGCCCAGGGAGGTCTGCCCCCCCCTCTCTCCAGGGAGAAGCCTGGCATCTGAGGGCTGTTCTGGGTCCACCTGCTTCGGCCACAGAGCTCTTGGCTCTTTGACAACTAGCTTCTTTCAGTGGTGTGAACAAATATGGTTGGAGCATTTCTCATAAACCGCTTGAGGATCCTGTGCAGGACATTGGTCAGAAGCTTTTGGATAAATTGGTGTCAGGTCATGGGGAGGAGCTGTTCTCTGGCATTGCCCCCCTCCCTCCCTCCCCCCCCCGGTGTCCATGGCAGGAGTCCATCCCGGCCACCTGCTGCCCGCCTCAGCCCCTCTTCAGGCTCCTTGGGGGAATCCTCCTGCGCCCCCCTCCCCCCGGCCAAACCTGCAGGCTCTGGATGTGGAGCCGCCGGCAGGCCCTTGGCTCCAGGGTGCTCCACAGCTGGAGCGTGCTCAGCGAGCGCTTCACGGCTCGTTTGGTGCCACGGGGGGGGGCCTTTCCTCCGGAGCCCATGGCAGTGGAGCCCCAGGGGCCAGTCGCAGCAGGGCTGCCCGGCCAGGGACCCAGACGTTCTGCTCGGGCGGGGCGGGGCGGAGAGCAGAAGCCGGCTGGGCCCCGAGGCACGGAGCCGGTCACGTCCCACAAGCTCCGGCTTGCACGCCAGCTGCCGGCTCTGGCCTCCCCCCCTGCCCCATAATTAAGGCTCTCCGAATGGGAGCTCCCCGATGCCATCACCCACTGCCACCCCACCGGCACTCCTGGCGGAGCCCGGGGAAAGGGCAGCCCCAGGTCACAGCACGGCTGGCAGTGGCAGAGGAAGCAGGGAGCAGCCGCTCTGCACTCAGTTTGACTGCAGCCGCAACCCCAGGAGGGACAGCTCATTGGCACCGCCGGCTCCTCCTCGCGGCGGCATGCCCAGGCCCAGCGTCTGCCAGAGGAGGCACCTGCCCCGCGGTGCCTTGGCAGGGCTGCTCAGGCTCCTCTGGGATGCAAATGCATGCAACCAGGGCAGGCGGGAGGCCACGGCCGGGCGGGCAGGGTGCTCCGCTGCGGGTCGGAGAGCTGGAGGCGATGGCGCTCCCGTCCCCTGATGCCTATCATCAGCCCCTCCTGCCATGTCAGGGCATCTGGCCGTGTTCCCCAGCCCTCTGCCCCATGCCCGACGGCCTGCTCTGCTGCCCCCTGGAGACTGTGCCACGCAGACCCTGACCTATCCCACAGCACACGGTCGGTCTGGGAAGGGGCATGGCTGTGCCCACTCCCTCATCACTGGCCCAAGCAGGGAGAGTGCCAGGCCACCACGGTGGGAGATGTGACAACCCCCAGCACCTTCCACATCCAGGGATGCCCGTGTCCCGGTGCCGTCCCTGGTGCCAGGGTCTCCAGTCCACGCCTGCTCCCGTGGCCTCCGTGCAGGCTGCTGCTCGCCCTTACCTGCCATGGTCTCTCTTTCTGTGGGTCCTGGTGGACTTCTCAGGGCAGCTTGCAGAGGAGGCACAGGGTGGAGCTCCAGGGGTTCAGGGAGCCTCATATAGGCAGCACACGGGAGAAGGCCCCTCCCACCCTGAGCCAGCCAGGGACAGCCCAGCGAGGTGGGTGAGGCTCCCCGGCCAGACCAGAGGAGGAGGAGGAGGAGGAGGAGGAGGAGGTGCTGCAAACTTCCCTGTGTGACAGGCGGCTGTCATCATGTCCTTGAGCAAGAGAGAGAGAGGAGCAGGGGGCAGGGAGGGAGGGAGGGAGGGGGACCTGGCCGCTGTGTCCTTGCCCAGGGGCAGGCGTGGAGGGAGGGGAGTCCCTGCCACGGGAGGAAGGAGGATGGCTGGAGTCAACAGAGACGGGAGAGCCCTTCTAGGCAAGGCTCAGAGGCAGTGGCATCCGAAGCAACCTCCACTCAGCCGGCTGGGACAGGGACAGGGAGCAGAAATGCCGTGTGCCCCCCCCCCCCAAGACACTGCGGTGCAATTACAGGAGACTCCTAATGCATGCAACTGTAGAGCCAGCATTTCCCAACGAGGAAGAGCTCATGGGGTTGTGCAAGCCCATTAAGGCTCATTCCTTCCAAGGGTGAAGTGTGGTGGGTCAGACGCATGGAGAAACCACGGAGACCGATGTAGGGATCATCAGCAGGGTTTACGGGTACACCAACAAAGACAAAGACTAACGGCCGGCTGGCCAACTATATACACACCTGGGGACGCCACAGTCCTATTGGTTCCCCAGTGGAGAGACCAGGAGCCTCGTCCCCATTGTCCTTACAGAGTCAGGCTCTGGGGTATCCGCTGGCCCCTGGTGGCGGTCAGCGGGCATAACAAAGGGTGATGCGCTGCGCTGCTGCTGCTGCCGCCGCCGCCTCTGCCTGACTACCCCCCTGCCCAGCTCCAGACAGCTCCCAGCTGCTGCCAAGCTGAGCCGGCCCCTGTGCAGCAGCACCCGGGCCAGAAGTGCGCGCCTTCGAGGCCAGGAGGGAGAGCCCCTGCTGAGGAGGCCAAGTCCACTGGCCCAGGTTTCCTGGCCCGCCGTGAGGCAGGGGAGGGGGAGGG